GGGCGAACATCGTCAGTGGCATGTGGATCTTCAGGGTGAAGCGGCCGCCGGGTTCTCCGCCTGTCTTCAAGGCGCGTTACGTGGCTCGTGGCTTCAGTCAGCGGCAGGGAGTTGACTACTTTCAGACCTTCTCCCCCACCCCGAAGATGACCACTCTTCGGGTACTGCTGCACGTTGCTGCTCACCGTGACTACGAGCTGCACTCTCTTGACTTCAGCACAGCTTTCTTGCAGGGCAGCCTGCACGAGGAGATCTGGCTGCGTCGCCCACCTGGCTTCACTGGGTCTTTCCCTTCTGGTACCCAGTGGAGTCTCCGGCGTCCAGTCTACGGTCTCCGCCAGGCGCCACGTGAGTGGCACGACACACTGAGGACTACACTTGCGGCTCTTGGGTTTGCTCCTTCTACTGCCGACCCGTCGCTGTTTCTACGCACCGACACCTCTCTGCCGCCGTTCTACATCCTCGTGTACGTCGACGACTTGGTCTTTGCCACAGCTGACACTGCTGGACTCGCCTACGTGAAGTCCGAGCTGCAGAAGAGACACACGTGCACAGACCTGGGTGAACTGCGCAGCTACCTTGGCTTGCAGATCACCCGGGACAGAGCACGCCGCACCATTACCCTGACTCAGTCACACATGGTGCATCAGGTCCTTCAGCGCTTCGACTTCACGTACTCCTCGCCTCAGGCCACTCCTCTGTCTACTCGCCACTCGCTCTCAGCTCTGCCTTCGGATGAGTCCGTAGAGTCGAGTGGCCCGTACCCAGAGCTTGTTGGCTGCCTCATGTACCTGATGACCTGCACACGACCTGACCTTGCATACCCTCTTAGCATTCTGGCACGCTATGTTGCTCCTGGGAGACACAGACCAGAGCACATGGCTGCAGCGAAGAGGGTGTTGCGCTACTTGTGCAGTACGTCGGGCATGGGGCTAGTGCTTGGAGGGCGGAGTCCAGTGGTCCTCACTGGGCACGCGGACACTTCTTGGGCTGACGACCAGGCTACGCAGCGGTCGTCATAGGGTTACACCTTCAGCCTTGGTTCCGGCTCTGTTTCGTGGCGGGCTACTCGCTCGTCTTCTGTTCTTGGCTCGAGTTGTGAGGCTGAGATCTACGCCGGGGCCATGGCTGCACAGGAGCTTCGCTGGCTCACCTACCTGCTGACCGACCTTGGAGAGCCGCCTCGTTCTCCTCCAGTCCTGTACGTAGACAACAAGGCCATGCTGGCCTTGTGTCGAGAGCAGCGACTGGAGCACAGAACAAAGCACATTGCTCTCCGCTACTTCCTTGCTCGTGAGCTACAGCAACGTGGTCAGTTGCGGCTTGCGTACGTGGCCTCTGAGGCCAACACTGCTGATGTCTTCACCAAGGCACTTCCGCCTTGTGATCATCAGCGCTTCTGCACTCAGCTGGGTCTTGTGCCCGTCTTGCCTCACTTGCTCTCCTCTTGACCTTGCCTGTACTCTCACATATATATATACCTGCTCTTGCTTGTCTAGCTTTATATATATGTGTGTACTCTTGCATGTGAACTGGCCGTGTGGCCTTGACCCTGTGCTCGGACTGTGTGGTGACTTTGTGATCCACCCTGAGCTTGCTTTGCTTTACTTTGCTTGACTGGTCTTGTGACCCCTTGTTCTCCCCCACTTTGCCTATGGGGGTGTGTCAGAACATTATAGCTTATGCTGTTGTGTAGGCTATAGTGGGGTATCCCATAGGGGGTACAACCAATTAGGGTTTCATATTTGTACTCACTTCATTTCATAGTTCACTCATTCTTGTTCAAATCTTCTCAAATCAGTGTTACCCTCCTAGGGACACTGAGTGCTCAGGGTACCCAAAAACCAATCTGAGGCCCTGACCATAGAGTGTGCTTGGGAGAATCGCGCCAGAACAATAGGCATCGAAGAGATCGACTAACGTCTCCATGTTTTCCATGCACTTTTTGTCTCGGACTTTCCTGCCTAATGGATACATGTCAGGCATGCCTAGCTTGACACAGTTGAGGTTGTCGATCTTAGCCTAATACCGTATGGCCCCGGATATAAGCGCAGGCCTATTATACGCACATGCGCTTGTATCTGGAGCAATGCGCTTATGGTCGATCCTCATTTATAAGCGCACCCCCTATAAAACCATGACATATTATAAGCGCATGTATAATTTTAATTTTAAATCTGGACAAAGACAGTAACGAAATTCAGTTTTGCAGCGAGTCACATCCATTTTCACATTGTTTGACTCTCTCAAGGGTCTCACTGGCTTCGAGTCCAGTCAGGATGAGCTGGCACGCCTGCAAAGTGACGTGCCAAGGCTCTTTTCGCCGGCAGAAGCGATTCTGACTTCGGACTCTCTCACAATGCGTTTCGATTGAGATCGCAAGACTGAGATGTACAATTTGGTGCGTGTACACTATATTTCTGTAATTGTCATTATATAAGCGCATGCGCTTATAATTTTTACTCGATTATAAGCGCACCCCCCTAAAAAAACATGTTTTATTATAAGCGCAGGTGCGCTTATATCCGGGGTGATACGGTATGGACATTATGGCTGGTCACCTTTGCGTATGCATGGCAGATGTGTACATACGACTGCAAGTCGCCTAGAGACTTGTTGTAGTCAGGCATGCTGTCCTTGTGGAGCTCCGCAATGCTATCTCGGCCAACCATCATTGCCCACACCATTCACCATTACACTCAATATTCTATCGAGTCCCTAACGCCATGGGTGCTCAGGAGCTCCGCTGGTTGAGAGCAAGTCGACAGACCTGGTCGATTTGCGCGGGACCACTGCCAGGACGTCGACGAGGTGAAGTCGGCGACCAACTTAGACCTGGTGGTCGACAAAGGGGTTCGTCGACCTTGGAAGGGGGGTCGCCAACTTCGTGGGTGCCGAGACGTTACCTGGTTCACCGTGTAACCACGACGGCGAACTTCCACCAGGGTGTACACACGTTGTACAGGAGATTTTGGCGAAGCCGACCTCGGGCTGGTATCCCGAGGTCGACGTGGTTCCTCAGGCGCAACTGTCGGCACGTGGCCGACTTGGCATCTGCGCAATGCTCGGGGCAGTGCACAACGTGCTCGATCGCTCTCCCGCGCCTGTGAAGTGGGTGCGCGTGTGTGCTATAGTCTAGCCGCTTTGTTGCTGCATTGGCAAGCCGCTCTGGTGCATCGCTGGCAGGTCACCTAGACGTCCCTAGCCGCACCCGATCGCACCCAGCCGCTCCTAGCCGCTCCCGACCATACTCGACCACTCCTAGCCTCTCCCCTACGTGTCCGATCGTTTCTAGCTCCTGTCGCTCCCGCGACCCTCTGACTTGTGCCATAGCGTCCGTTAGAGTTTTGCAGCAGTGGGGCCAACTGCAGCAGCAGCAGCAGCAGCAGCAGCAGCACTCCCGGCAGTAGGGACCTGATGGTCCGAGGAGCGTCGGCCCCAGCAGCAGTACAGCCAGCTGGGCGGCTCGCCGCGGTGGTCGCGACGTCTTCCCCTGCCAGTACCGGTTCCTGACTGGCCATGGTGCCGGCACTACCTGCTCGCGCCCTGACCACTCCTCATTCCGCAGCTACCGCCACCTCGACGACCTCTACCGTGAGCATTTTGGGCTTGACTCGTCGCTTCCGCAATCGCTTAGTCAGTCTCGCCGTGGTTACAATATTTATTCTATGTCTATGTATAGAGCTTATACTGTTATGTATGTTGATAAATCTAGAACTGTTGGATGCATTGATTTGCATGTGTCTAGCTTAGGACCTCGGCCAGCTGCTAGTGTAGGGACTTGTGCTTCCAGTGTAGGTGCTAGTGTAGTTACTAGCCTAGGAGTACTTGCGGCTGACGCGTCGCTCCCCTTCACGCTGGACTCTGGCGTGTCTCAGTCCGCAACTACACCACTGTCACACCTCTTTCTGCTCCTGTCCCAGTTGCCCTAGTTGATCCTACTTCTGGACCAGCAGCCGCTCGTAGTTCTACCACCCTCCCGTGCCAGGATGTCCCCTCTGGTGTCTTCACTGGTTTCTACATTCCCTCGTTCTCTTGGAAATTGGTGGGTGTTGGATATCTTTAGGATCGTGAAATCACAGTCATTTTTCCTGCGCACAGAAGTGCTGCGAACTGTACAAACACTTCCACTGTGTCACTTCTTGCCGCGTTCACCAAGGAGCCCCACTCGGGTATTCGTTCTGCATACGGGCCCCTCAGGTAGCTTCGTCTGGTTAGGTCGTTACGTAGTGCTCCTGTCGGTCACTCTCCCACCCGACAGTCTTGTGGCACCACCGTCCCTCCCCACGCCTCCGTAGCATGTCTAGCCAGTGTCCTGTCTCCGGTATCCCGCGTGTGTTTGCGTCGCTCCCTCCTTTGCCTGCACCACCGTGCGCTCCTCGCATCGATGGTAGGTTGCGTGCCACTCAGTTTGGGTTAGTAAGTGATAAGTACCCCCTCCGATACATCTGGGACTGTTTCCGGGATGTTTCCGGCGGTCTGGGACTGTCGGCGATGCACGTACTGAGCGAGACACCTCAAGATCGAATTCTCGTCCCAGTCAAGCCTCCGTATTGTTCGCCCCCCGTCTCGTTATCTCGTTCCGCATCTAGAGGGTGAGACGAGGGTGCGCCGCGCTGTTCTAGGAGGGAGGGGTGCCGCAGCCACAGTTTCAAGAGCACGGACGAGCAGCCCTCCACGGGAGGGAGCAGAGCAGCTTCCCAGACGGGAGGGGAGGGGCGAAGGTGAGGCGGAGGGGAGGGCTATGCGTGCGTGCGGGGTAGGCAACGGCGGACCAGACGCTGCAGAGCTCATGGCGACTCAGTGACAGTGACATTGACGAGAACGTGACAGTGACAGTGACGAGAACCCTATCCTCCCAGACCAATCACTCTTCTCCCCATCACTCATTCTGTCCACCCCAACCACCCGCCCCTCCCCCTTTACCAGGTGCGCGGGCCACTGGAGCGCATCTCTTCAGTGTATGGGGCTGTGAAGGGCGCGAGCAAGGACGCGAGCAGATGCTAACAAACACATGTGCACATGCACACTCGCTCGTTCCTCCTCCTCTCTCCCCCCCCACACCACAGGTGCGCGGGCCACTGGAGCGCATATCGTCGGTGTACGGGGCAGTGCAGGATGCAAGCAAGGATGAGGACACGTCGGTGCGACCGTAGCATTATACACTCTCCTCTCCCCCCCTTCCCCTCCTCCTCCACCAGGTGCGGGGCCCTCTGGAGAGCGTATCCTCAGTGTACGGAGCAGTGCAGGACGCAAGCAAGGACGAGGACACGGCGGTGCGACCGTAGCATTATACACGCTCCTCTCCCCCCCTTCCCCTCCTCCTCCACCAGGTGCGGGGCCCTCTGGAGCGCATATCCTCAGTGTACGGAGCAGTGCAGGACGCAAGCAAGGACGAGGACACGGCGGTGCGACCGTATCATTATACACTCTCCTCTCCCCCCCTTCCCCTCCTCCTTTACCAGGTGCGCGGCCCTCTGGAGCGCATATCATCGGTGTACGGAGCAGTGCAGGACGCAAGCAAGGACGAGGACACGGCGGTGCGGCGCTGTATCAACGAGCTGCAAACCATTGAGAAGGAGCTCACTGCGCTCAAGTCGCCTGCTAATGTGTCTGGTGAGTGGGTGAGTGCAGTGCGGTGCTGTGAGGTGCAGTGAAGTGCTGTCCGGTGCTGTGCTGTGCACTTTAGTGCTGTGGACGAAACGATAGTGCACACATTTGCTGTCCTTTTTCCTCTCAGTGCTTGTCCTCACCTCCTTTTCTTCCTTTCTCTACCATGCCTGTTTCTTCTCATCACCAGAGGCAGACGAGCGGGCGGTGGTGCTGGACAGGCTGGACACCAAGCGCCACGTGCTACAGCAGTGCTGCCAGCTGATGCCTTCTCCCTTGCTCCCCCTTCTCCCTTGCTTCCACTTCTCCCATCTCTCCCCATCTCCCAACAGAGGCGGACGAGCGGGCAGTGGTGCTGGACAGGCTGGACACCAAGAGGCACGTGCTGCAGCAGTGCTGCAGCAGCTGCGAGCTAATGCCTTGTCCCTTGCCTCACTTCCCCTTGTCCCACTCCTCTTGCACCCATTTCTCCCCTTGTTTGTTCCCACCAGGGGCGGACGAGCGGGCGGTGGTGTTAGGCAGGCTGGACACAAAGCGCCACGTGCTGCAGCAGTGCTGGCTGTTGATGCCTTTTTCCTTGCTTCCCCGTCGCTACTGCTGTCTTTGATTCCCCGTCCTCTCCTCTCCACCAGAGGCGGACGAGAGGGCAGTGGTGTTGGACAGGCTGGACACCAAGCGCCATGTACTGCAGCAGTGCTGCACTGGCTGCTTCCATCTCCCACTTGTCTCATTTCTCTCCCACCACTTCCCTCCTTTCCTTGCTCCCACCAGAGGCGGATGAGCGGGCAGTGGTGTTGGACAGGCTGGACACAAAGAGGCATGTGCTGCAGCATTGCTGCGACCAGATGGCGGCGTGTGAGTGCAAACGAGCGCTGCTGGTGAAGCTGCTGACAGACGCGCTCAGGACACAGGAGAGCAAGCTGGAACGCTTGAGATCACAGGTGGAGGTGAGATGCACAGAGCCCGCATCCCTCGTTCTCTCTGGCCCCACCCACTCCCTCTATCTCCTCCCTTTCCTACGAAATGGAAGGGAGGGAGGGGAATACATCCCTCCCATGCTCTGTGTGAGCGGAAGCGAGCTACAGCGCCCGCTATCAGCAAAAACGACGGTTTGACAACTCGCAACCTCAAAATCTGAGATCGACAGTCTCACCCAATGTTGTCCTCCAACCTGATTGCACCACCCCTACCGCGTGCAAACTCAGTCGTACGTTCCCAGCAACCTGCGCAAGCGAGCCACAGGGGAAGGTGCTGCTTGTCCCACTCGTTTGTGCTGTGCCCCAACTCATTCATTGCGCAACTACTCGTGCACTGACTGACCTCTCTGTTGCAGATCGCGCGCACACAGTCAGGATAGCAGCCAACCTGCCTGCGCACGCGAGCCACGGAGGAGGACGCTGCTGATCTCACTCTTTTGCACCCCTCTTCATCCGTGGCCCCTCCTTGTCCCGCCACCCATGTGCAGATCGCGCGCACGCAGTCGGAGATAGCAGCCAACCTGCGCAAGCGAGCCACGGAGGAGGATGCTGCTCGCGCCTCTGCTGGCCTCACTGCTGCAGCCAACCCCTCCGCTACTGCCCCTGCCACCACTGCTGCTGCACCATCCGCCCCAGCATTCTTCCCAGCCCCTGCAACAGCAGTGGCCCCTGCCGCTACAGCTGCACCTGCACCAGCGTTCGTTCTCCCTGGGCTCCAACCTCCCCCAGGCATGCCTCCTGAGATGGTGGCTGCAGCCGCTGCTGCTGCTGCAGCTGCCGCCGCTGCTCTAAACAGTTCACAAGCCTCTACCCCTGCTGCTGCTGCAGCTGCCGCTGCTGCCGCCGCTGCTTCTGCTGCTGCTGCCGGCAATCCAGGTTTGCCGGCTGGTCTTGCTGCTGCAACAGGCCCGGGTGCCGGAGCTGGTGGGGTCACCGATACTGAGCGGGAGGCTCGGTGGAAGCGGGCGGCGGAGCTGACGAGCCAGCTGGTTGCTTCGGCATCATCTGCCGCGATTTTGAAATCCGTTCTCTCGTCGTTTGCAGCTGGGCAATCAGTAGCAGCAGGAGACGCTGCCGCTGCTGCTCCAGCTGACGCTGCTCGTGCAGGTGGTGGGGGGGATGGTGGTGGTGGCGGTGGGGGAGGAGGTGCAAACGACCCTTCTCAGCCACCAGAGAAGCGGCTGCGACCCACTGATACAAGCACACCGCCTCTGTCACACTCATTTGCACCTCCTCCCTCCACTGCCACTGCCTTTGCTTCCCCGAACCATGCAATGTTCCCCCCGCCCCCACCCCCACTGAACATGGATGGCATGCCGTTCCCCCCCTTGCCCCCTCCCCCCCCTCTCCCTACTCAATCCCATCCTCCCCAACAGACCTCTGCTGCCATGCCTCAGTATTCTCTTGCTCCCCCTCCTCCTCCCTACACTGCTTATCCTCCCAATGCTGCCACCGGTGCTCCCCCCCTTCTTATAATGTTATGGGGCAGGGGAATGGGGGTTATCAGGGGCAAGGGCAGATGGGGCCAGGGGATGGGGGTGTGGGAGGGAACGTTGGTGGGCAAGGAGGGGAATATGCTGGTCAAAATGGGGGGGGAGTGTACAATGCAGGGGGTATGTCGTCTCAACAGTACATGTATGGGCAGGCACCCATGCGGTAGAGAATCATGGAATTGTTGGTGTGCTAGTTTATTCCTATCCCCTTGAGTCTGTGCTCCTATAATGCATTTATTGATAACCCTAAATCCTGTCTCATTGTCATTCTGCTCCTCCAGAAGCAACACCTCATGAAGCAGGTGTTCCGTAAGGGACTCTCTAACGCGTACGCAGGCACAGCCAGCGACCTCCGGTTAAGTCCGGTTCTGCGCGGCAAGCTTGTTCGCGGCACACTCCTAAAGCACACATGGTGGTAACCCGTTTGAAGTTTCGAGAAAGTGTCATGTGTCCACCATCACATTGACAAATATTGACGAAGTATTTTCCTCACGTCACCATTCACAGTTCATTCCCCCGCGAACCTTGCTTAGCACCTCTGCCATTCGCGCTCGTTTCCGCTTCCCTTCATGCCATACATTCCGTGCCTCGACCTCTCACGTGTACCTTTCGCCAACAACACAAAAATATGCTCCTGCAACAGGATTACATCCATTGAATATGCTGTATCAGCGGTGGTATGCGTAAGGCATTGCCCACGCAGGGCTAGTACTGTCGTACGTGGCCTGTCCCGTCGTCTGCGATTGGTCACTGTGGTACAGCACTAGTTGATTCACATCCGCAAAAGCTGAATATTGGCGCCGACAGAAGGTTTAGGAAGCGCGTTGCGGGATCACCACAAACAGGTGGTGCCACCCATTGTTTTTACTGCCATGCACGCTTCGTCAAGAGGGGATGGAGTTGGGGCGTTGGGGTTTCGAGGGGCCATTCTTCTCCAACCCTCTCTTTCAAACACCCCTTCAAGCCTGTTCCTGCTGTCAATCTTCCATTTTCTCCCGTTACCCATCCGTCTTCTCGCCATGGCGGACGACGCAGACGTTGCTGAAATAGCCACCCCACGGCCCCACCCACCTTTAACCGGCCTAGATTTCCTACATCGGTCCCAGCCAGCCGCCGTGTTAGGCTCATCCTCCCCGACACGTGTTCCCGTAGCATCTTCCCCGGTTGTCCCCGAAGTTACGCCTGTTTCGTGGCCCGAGCTTAATGTTCGACGGACTTTCAGCAGCACACCGCCCGTCTCCCCTAGTCCGTCTACTCGGAATCAGCCGCCTACTCCTAGTCCACAATCTTCGATTAGTACCTCGCATAATGATGCCGTCCCGCGTTTCCCCAAGGCTGGTCGATTCACACAAAGCACACTCCGGTTTGCTAACACTCGCGTTCCCCACATTCGCATCATTGCTTGCCCCACCACGAGGCCTAGAGTATGAGGATCATCAACCCCACTAGCAGCTCATTTGACAGGTGATCCTGGGCCGTCGAGGAGTAGCATTAATGTTCCAGATCCAATCTTCCTAATGTCTGAACTTCACGCTTGATCGAAGGAGTATTGGAAGGGAAAATTCAAGTGGCTGATCATCACGCAAAGGAAGGACGGGACTCCGTGCATGAAGTGCAGCATATGCATGGCGCACGGTCCTGCCAATTGGTAGTACGACAAATTTGGAGAGGGCGGAGTTGACATCCTGCGGCACTCGATGCGGAAGCACAGTCTCAGCAAGAAGCACCGAGACGCCGTCGATGCACAGCTCCGTGCAGAAGGCGGTAAGGTCGCTCAAAGAGGCATTGCCAACGAGACAACCAGGTTGAAACAACGGATGCTGACTGTGCTATTCATTTGCAAATCAGATTCCCCGATCTCTCTGTTTGTTGATCTTGTTCGGCTGGTGGCCGACTTGGGAACGCCTCACATTCCAGACAAGGCGATAGGGTTTATGAGTATATGATCATTTTGTCCAATTTGTTTATATTTTGCAATAGTCTAATACCTTTCAATTCTGATGTGCAGGTATGGCTTCCGTGAGATGACCGAAGCCTTCGTCACAAACCTCAATCAGCACCAGATGCGCCACATCAAGTCGTCTTCGTTCCTTGGCATTCAACTCGACGAGAGCACCGACTGTCGCAGAGGGAAGCACATGATTGTCTACATGTCTTTCGTCCGTGACACTGAGATTATCACCGAGTTATTCGGGCACCTGACCGTCGAGAAGTGCGACGGTTCCTCCTTTCTGACGGTTCTTCTGGCACATCTGGAAAACACCGACATCGACATCAACAGAATCACGGGCATCAGCACTGATGGCGCAAATGTAATGAGGGGATCTCAGAACGGAGTGGTGACCCAGCTCAAACTGCGAGTGTCGCACCTTCTGATGTGTCACTGTATCGCTCACATGTATGACTTCGTGTTTGCGTGCGCTCGGTTGTATGCAAGCTTTGTAGCAATCTTTGTTGAGAGTGGAGTTCTCCCTAGAATGTTGTTTTGCAATCTATGTAGGGAGGCTATCGCGGCGAAGGACGCGGCAGAAGCCGTGCCTGGCCTCGGCGTCGTCGACCGAGTTGTACGGAGCATCGCCGACAACCTGGGTCGCAACATCGTTGTGCACTCACGATTAACCGAGCTTCAAAACATACTGCACGAGACAACACTGGAGATGCAAGGGATTAAAGACATCCGGTGGCTGTCGCGTTGCGAGGCGATCGTACAGCTCGTGGCGGTTCTCTCGGCAGTAATCGTTGTTTTGTGGGAGCACGACAAGGAAGCATACGCAAAAGTCACCAGCTTTTAGTTTCAGTTTTTCCTGTTTTTCCTGACAGATATGCTGAGAGAGCTGAAGGAACTGAACAAGAAGTTTCAACGGTGCACGGTAAGCTTCTTTGATAGCTCTTTTTATATCTACACAAAACTCTATCTATTAATTAGTTCTTGCACAATGCCATTGGACATCACCTATGTGACAGCCATGGTCCATAACACCCGCGGGAAGCTGAAAGCGCGATACATAGAACACGGCGTCAACTACGTGGACGGCATCGAGCTGTTGACCGACTTCCTAGAGCAGCATGGCCCAACGGCCAAGCGGATGGTGACAGTCACAGGCATGGATGCGGAAGGAAGTCCCGTCACCTACACTTTCAAGCTTCACAAGGACGACATCAAGGGGCAGGTGTCCAAGGGTGATCTCGAATCTTGTATCACTGTTACCTCCCTCTTTGCGCAGGAAGTTGCCTAGCACCTCCTGAAGCGGATGGAAAGCCTCGAATCTCTGAGCGGAGCGAAGCTATTTCTGCCAGACGCATACCCCGACGGTTCCGTGAGGAGATAATGTGTCTACGCGGCTTGGTTCCAATCTCTCCACGAGCTGTTCCAGGCGGAGAAGTGCGTGCTCCCAGGTCAGTGGATGGATGTAGATTAGTGTTAAGTACATAGTGTTTCTGTACACTAATCCCCCCTCGCCCCGCTTGTACGTACGACTATGAGTCTGCAGGACTGAGCTGGAAGAAGGCGGCATGGGAACTTGTGTCGTTCACAAGGATGATGCATTCTCAGCACACAGACCAGACATTCCATGCCTGCCTCAAGCACATGTTGCGCATTGAAGTTTGGGAGACGACTTTCCCCGACATGGTGCGCCTCTGGGTCGCGGTCACCGTGCTGCCCTTGAGGAACGTCGAGTGTGAGCGCGGCTTCTCCAGGCAGAAAGTGATCAAGTCGTGGCTTCGAGGTAATCTGTGAAACACTCGCCTAACAGATTTGATGTGCAGTACGATCCTAACTGGGACGAGGTGGTGGCCGCCTGTAGGGGGGCAAAGAAGCGGCGACCGGCCAGAGAAGTGACGATGAAGAAGTGCACTCGAGAGAGAGCGCCGAAGTGTGAAAGATAGAACGAGGAATGAACAGCAGAAGAGGAGTTTCACTAGCAAGCATTGGGATACATATAGCAAACCCTAACAGGGCTGTACTCACTACAGAGTACCCCACTGCAGACTAGAGAAATATAACATTCTGACACACCCCCATAGTCAAAGTGGGGTATAATCAGCATAGCAGGCAGTCACAAAATAGTTCAAAAGCAAAAGCAAAGCTAGAAGCAGTCACAGAGGGCAAGTGAGGAGGAGGAGGGACTGTGAGAGGAGAGGAGATAGGAGGCGACGGGTGAAGCCGCAGACACATGGGCAACAGGAGCGGCGCGCACGGTGGCTACCGGAGCAGAGCCCCGGACTACATGAGTAACTGGCTCCGCGGCTAAGACGAGCGGCAGGAGCAACAGACCCACGGGCGACTAACGCAGCAGGCTCGCTTGGCTACCGGAGCAGAGCCCCGGACTACTGGCGCTGCTGACGACACGACGGCTGCCTCCACTCAACCTCCCCCAACTGTCCCACCCCCCTTTCACACACCCCCTGCTGCACCCCTAGCTCCAATCCAGTGTCACCCCCCTAGTGCCACTCCCTCGGCTCCCACACATCCACCTCCCTCATTGGCAGCTGCAGCAGTGGGAGACGGAGGAGGAGGAGGAGCAGGGGACGAATCACACACGCGCCACCCCCACACTCGCCACCCGCGGGGATGAAACAGGCTCGCGGTAGACGGGGGGAGCGGGGGGGAGGGGGGGGGGGGGGGGGGGGGCAGGAAGGGCGCGCGCGGGTCCCCCATGTCGCCGCGACAGGCGACGGGATGGCGGGGGGAGGGGGGGCGCGCGGGTTCCCCAGGGCGCCGCAACGGGCGACGGGATGGCGGGGGGGCGCGCGAGGGTCCCCCAGGGCGCCGCAACGATTAGGGCACCGCCGCACGCCTCGGGGCGCGCGACAGGCAGGGCACCGTCGCGCGCCACGGGGCACACGAGGGGCAGGGCAGGGCGTCGCGCGGCCAGCAGGGCGGCGCAACTGGCAGGGCAGAGCAGTACGCGACCAGCAGGGCGGCGCGACGGGCAGAAAACCGCCGCGCGCCCCGAGCGCGCGGCGGGAAGAAAAAACGCCGCACGCCACGAGGGCGCGGCAGGCAGAAAACGTCGCGCGCCCGGGGCGCGCGACAGGCAATACAGCAGCGGAAGCATCGGGTGGGCCCACCCACAGGATCGACCAGGGAGGGTCGACCTGCTCTGATACCATGTGAAATATAGAACGAGGAATGAACAGCAGAAGAGGAGTTTCACTAGCAAGCATTGGGATACATATAGCAAACCCTAACAGGGCTGTACTCACTACAGAGTACCCCATTGCACACTAGAGAAATACAAAATTCTGACACGAAGAGGAAGGCCGAAAGTGAAGGGATAGCAGCTGACGACGAAGATGAGCAAGTGCAGGAAGTGGACAGGGAAATGACATACTTCTGATGGATCAGACTGGCCCTC